TAAAAATTCAAAAAAACTTTAACAAAGATTTGTTTTAACATACAAAATGTTTTTTACCGTATAATGGAACGTAGAGTAGCGTTGTTTGTTTGAAAAACCAAGCAATCCTCCGACCTCAAATAAAGCTATTCTATATCTCACTATGAAAAACTAAGAATTTTTAGACAAACAAACCACATTCTATATTCTATTACGAATATTTACAAAAAGTTAAGAATTTCTAAGATCTTATTTCAATTTATGTAGTTTTTTAAATTATTTGTTAAAATTATTATTTTTTTTTTAAATTATTATTATTTTTTTTTGTAAAATTTTTTTTCCGTTAGATCAGGAAAAACCATTTTCAAGAATCATTAAAAATAGCTATGTATTAATTTTATATTTAAAATAGATTCGATAAACTTATTTTGCATTTTACATTTTAAATACACTTTTATAAAATATTTTACAATTAGAATTTTTAATGGAATTCGAAAGGCACTCAAATCCCAAAGGTCAAGGAAACATGATCATTTTATTTATTTTGCTACTACATTCAAAATGTAGCATTGTTTCTTAACTACAGGTCTGGCAATAAAATTTTTGATCTACAGCAATAAATAAATAAACATCTCAGATAATAATATATTATTTTATCTTTCAAAATAATTTCCCATAACATCAATATATAACACTTCGTACGTCTATGATATCAAGATTAATTAAAACCTATAATTGGAATATTATTCAGAGCATTTGCCATGTTCTTGTAAATATTCTCGATATATGGAAAATATTTATCTTTTATAATGTTTTTGAATTTTGCAAACAATATGAAATGTGAAAAAGTCAGATCTGGCGAATAAGATACATATAATCTCAATCTCTGTCTTGTCCAAAAAGTTTGCCAACACTCTTATGGATTAAAAAATTATCGTGAAACAGTTCGATGTAATCAAAAAATATATCATGCCATTATAAGTTGTTCTAAAAATATTTTTACATATTATTTGCACATATATATCTACCCATCATTTATTTATTATATGTAAATTGATTAAAAAATAGTTTTAAATATATCTTTATAATTAAAAGGAAGTGAAAAACGCATTTTATAGAATGATTAACAAAAAGAATATCAATAAGAAATTTATATAATATAAATTAATAGAAATAATAGAAATTTATATAAATATCTATTTCTTTATCTATAATATATCACGAGGATAAAGAAGAAAATAATTTTGAATGATTGATTTTTGTTCATCTATGCTGTTTTATGTATATTCTACTGAATTTTGTGAATTAATTTATGCCATGTTTTTTATTAATTCAAAAAGATAAAATAAAATTTTCATTATGTAAAAGTGGAAGGAACAATTTCCAACTGATTTTAACAAATGTTATCTAGGTTATGATTTTGAAGAATATTCAAAAGATTTTAATCATCGGTCGGATCATCTTACGTAATGCCGGCGATATTGTAACTTCTCCAAGCCTTATAACTCAAAAATTACTTAATGAAAAAATTTTTTATTATTGTGTTTTGAAAAGTTATTTGTGTTTTGAAAAGTTAACACTTGCTATTAAATTTTGAAATAAAAAATAGAGTGTTTTATTAAAAAAATTCAAAGTGATCTTGATCTGACTTTGATGGCATCACCTAAAGTCAAACTAATGATACATATATAACTAATATATACCTATTCTCTTATGTCTCCCTTCAAACCTTATAATCTTAAACTTTATAACTTTTGTGTGAAACGTTTTTCCGTATCTTCTATATTTTTCAAGATATTTGCTTGAAGCAATTAAAATAAGACATTTTGTTATTGAACGAATATGTGTATAACTTTTGAAAGTGGTTTTTGAAAGTGATTTATATAATAAATATGATATATACATTTATAATATTGGAAAAAATCGAAAATACAGTTGTAATAGAATGATCTTAATTAAAAGAAATTCAAGAAATTTATTTAAATATGTTGTATACATTTAAATTAATGTCATTAAGATAAAATGGAAAATAACTTCATGATTAATTTACTTACAAAATTACTATACACAATACATATTTATCTAAAATTTGTAATTAATTTACGTGTTGTTAATACAAAAAGTAGAATAAAATTTTCTATATAATTATTTTAATAATTATTCTATATAATTATTATATTATACAAATTTAAGTCTAATTCTTACGTAATAGAAAAACTTGTCATCTGTTACACAAATATGTAAATATAAAAAAAAAGAGAATGTGAACATTAATTATATTTTTAGACGTGTTTGTAATTCTTGATTGATAACTTAAGAGAAGTAAAAGCAAATGATGATAAAATTTAAAAACTTTGTTTTTCTTATTTTTTTATATCGTTTTCTTATTTTCTTATTTTTTTTATATCATTTTGATTACATTAACGTTACACTGAATGCATATTAAAGTTATTGTACACTGATTCAAATTGTATAGAAATAAAATTCAAATATTTTGAATTATAAAATACAGATTTTACTTAAGCACAATAAAATGTATTGATAATTTCATTATTAATTCATTTTTATACTTATATTAAACTTATATTAAACTTATATACATCTTTATGTCAATTTGTATACGACGGCTTTAATGCATCTAGTGAGTCAGCCAAGAGAAATTAGAAATATATATGGATCAAATATGAATGAAACTTTTTTATGTAAATCAACATTGGTAGATGCTCTGATTATATAGTAACTCTGATTATGAAATAATCTCTTCTGTTACTATAAAATCAAAATGATTATACTCTGATTAGTAACAGGCGAAAGACAGTTTTGTTTCTTCGTTGTTGCAATGTCCAAACAAACAGTACCAAGTTGTGTAATGCGTTGTTCATATGATTAAGTTTTATGCTTATGTTTTTTGTTTGTAAATAAAAATGTTAAGAACCTTCGAAATTTTAAACTGCGTCTACAGTTCGGAAAAAAGACGCTATCAAAGGTACACGTGTACAATAGCACTCAGTATTATCGAGAATAATTATTGCATATATATGCATATTAATATTTATTTACATTGTTAATTTTAATAATATTAAAAGAATTGTAAAAACTCTTTAACGGACAAATTGTTGTGCGTGCACACGTGTGACTGATCGATGCATTTTCAATTGTTGAAATGATACATTTCATGAAATTGATATCGCAATCTCTTAATAATGACAGCATCAATTTTATTCGCATTGGTTACAATTGAAAATTTGTTATTATAAAAATTTTGGATAAAACTATTGATAGAGCACCGTGAATTTGATTACACAGTGATGATTACGCATCATGTGGTCACATGCCCAGTTTTATTTTATGTTTTTATTCTTAATGTCAACACACTATT